AATGAAAGGGTTTCACAGAATCACACACTCACAAAGAGAATTAGAAATGTTAAATATATTTTAATACTGCAAACACTATGAATATGTATATATATATATATATATATATATATATATACATACATATTTGATGCCCATTCTATTTGTTTAAAAGACATAAAATAATATAAAATATTCATGTATCTATTGTTAGTTTATAACAAACATACATAGACACAGCATGTATAAAAGTAACAGCATACAAAGAAGAAAAAAGAAATAGAATAACATTAAGAGTAATTGTTTTATATCTGAAGGTTATTAAAAAAATAAACTCAAGTAGATTCAAAAAACTAGAGAATTATGTTGGCTGTGGTAGTGCACTCCTGTGATCCCAGTACTTGGGAAGCTGAGAAAGGAGGATTGTGGCAAGTTTGAGATCAGCCTGGGCTACAATGTGTGCTCAAGGGCAGCCGGAACTGCCCATGAGACCCTGCCTCAAAAAAGAAAAAAGAAAAAAAAAACTTGAGAATTATATGGTAAACCCTAGAGCAATAATTAAAAAAAATAAAAATTATATAAAATCATTAAACAAACTAGTATATTACATTAGGATATATTAACTGAGAGAAAGAGGCAAATAAAGGAAGAATAAAAAGCAAAACGGTGTCATTTTGGAACTTGGAAATAATTATTCTTTGGTGCAAATCAGATTTGAGATGCACTCGAGTTTTGATCACCTGCGAAGTTAATTTGATTTGTAAAAGAGTAATGTCAAAAAGACTTGCAGATTGAGACCACTGAACTTCAAATTCACTCTATGTAGAGCTTCCAAAGATATACTCTTTACTGAAACATTCTACTTCTGGGTTGGGAGGACCACATATATCTTGTACTGCCATTATATTTTCACATATTTTGTCTTTTGAAGTTTTTTTTAAAATTCCTTTAATTGTCATGTTTGTTATACCAAATTCTTCTTAGAAAAAATGGAGCCTACCAACCCATGCAAGATGACTAAAGAAAGACAAATAAATAGCTAAGTATTTGCCAGGTAAGCTTACTCTTTTTTATACATATGGTACATATGCGAACAGGTTACTTAGGCAATCATTAATTGCTGTGGTCCAGTCAGTCACACCCTCGAAGAATAACACCAAGGAGGATTTCAGACATGATGCTCATTGCTTAAATTGTAACAGTGTATTTATCCTTGAGTCAGGCCCCCTTGGTATATTAACCAGAAGTACAAAGACTTATGAAGTTAACAAAGAAAATAGAGCTAGAAACAAGTGTGACTGTTTCAAAGATTGCTAGGGATTAAGTCTAAACTCAATTAAGCATTTGAATAATTAACTAAATCCCTCTGAAATTTTATCTAATATAAATTGTTAAAATAAGATCAGAACACACATTATTACATTTTAGAAATCATAAAACAAGACTGTTAATTTTAAACTCAGATAATGAAAGTATAATTTGAGCTACATTGTCTACATTTTTGTAATCATTCAAAACTACATTTTCTAATAATTCAAAATAAATTTTATGTAAATTCAAGTAGCATCAAAACTTATGGTTCTCTTTGATATGTCATTTGTCACTACCACAAAAGAAAATTAAATTACTTTGGCAGGATTTATTCTTCACTTACATATGTTTATTTATAAGAACCATAATAGTTCAGTGCTGAAAGGACCTTTACTAATCACAGGCTGAAATTTCATTTTTCTCTAAAATGAATAAATATTTCCTAGGACTGTACATTTATGTTTTTAGGGTTCAGTGAAAATATATTTTTACCTATTCACTATCATTGTAGATATTCCAATCCAGTAGATAATTTAACAAATTCCTCCACTGTTTTTAAAGTCACTCATCAAAAATTATTGTGCTAAACTTGAATCATATCTTAACCAGCTCTCATGAATTCTCACTATTATTACAATAGACTCTGAAATTTATAATTTAGACCCATTCTTTTATAGACTTTAATCTTTAAATTTGAAAAGTCCTGAACTACAATATAGCTGTTAAACTTGGAGTGGGAATATCTCTTTAAAATATTTCCTCTTTGAGCACAGTCCAGGTACTATATATCCTCCACTTTTGAACTGGTAAAAGAGCAAGGCAAGATTACAATCATCTCTCTGCTGTCTACAGCCATTCATGTGAGACAACCGTGTGTCTTGTGAGACAACTTTATATTATGATTATTATTATTATTATTATTATAGGACAGTTACAATATTTAATACATTTCACATTGTACTGAAGACACACCGCCCTGATCCTCCTTACCACAGTTCTTCTAGTGCTGGCTTCCATACCTAATTGCTTCCTACAAGTGGGAAAATAGTGCAGCATGACTCAGTGCCGCCTTCACGTATGTGTACGCGTAGCCCAGGAACGCCATGCCTCATTTCCATGTTAAATACTAAAAGATATGTCCTTCTCTGCTATTCCCTTATCCAGGCTCACTCATTTTCTATAGAAGTGAACATCCCTAATTTGGAAATCTGAAATCCAAAATGCTCCAAAATTCAGAACCTTTTAAGTGTCAACATGATGCCCAAGTAGAAAATTCCACACCTAACCTAATGTGACAAGACTTCAGGCAAAATGTTGCTGTATTCAAAAGTATTGTATGAAATACAAATGATTTTTTAAATTAAATTTGTATCCTATCTGCAGGATATCTTGTTATATATATACTGTTTGAGCAAGCGTTTAAAAAATCTGAAAAACCTCTGAATATGAAACATTTCTTGTTCCAAGCAGATTGGATAAGAGGTTTGAATCCTGTGTTACTTTTTTCATTGAGAAGGTAGAAAAGTATTTGGAGAAGTCTTTAAAGATCCTTTTCATACTTAATGACAGTCCAAAGATTGGACTGGCTCAGCATCCTGGCAGTGGAGCTGGTGTAGTATGTACTTGAATTCAGCAAACTAACCCAATGTAGTCCAAAAGTTCATAATAGTAGTGAGTTATCAGCACAACTGGCAATTGTCAGAAATTTACTTGAGCCTTTTTCAGCTTAGCATATTAATATAGCTTAATAACTGCTATAAAGACAATAATGTGCAATGTATTAAATATTGTAACTATCCCATAATAGTAATAACAATAATAGAAAATGTAGAACAAATGTATATTAGCAAACTTGCTTTTAAGTAGCTGTCCAACCAGAAAGAAAAAAATGACTATCACCTCCTACTGCTTTTCTCCTTTTCAGTTCTGCTCTCAGTACAAATAGGAGGATGGGACAAAAGGAATAGGAATATTAGGGGACAGAGTGACAGCCAAGTAAGGCCGGTGCTGAAACTGTACCTCAAGTCAGCACAATGTCATCTGTACTAAAACACAGAAAACCATCTAAGTGTCAGATTCAAAGGTAATCATGAGAGATGACCTGTTCAAAGAAACATTATTTATAAATACTAAAAGAGCAAGGAATTACAAATTCCAATAATATAATATTATGTAAAGAAAATAACCTATGATTTAACTAAACTCACCATGACCTGCAGGGAATTTTTTCCATTTAACAATTGCAGTCAGCTCACGTATGGATAAAGTAGGCCACTCCTCATAATAGGGACACTTTTGGATTAATTTCATCTTGCGTATATCATCAAGTTTTGCTTTCTCCTAAAAAAGAGTGACCTGATCAAATTTCCAGTGACAGTTAATTTTAAAAGAAATGAAAAAATGCCAAGTGAAGAAATTGTATAGAAATAAAAATGATGCAAATATATATTTGTATATATTATTGTCTTATTAGATCTTTATTGCATGATCACATAGCCATATTGAAATTTTAATATTCAGATTTGCTTAGTAAAATTATATTTTCACACCTTTCTTTCATATTTCAAATTCTATAAATGTGAGCATTTAGAAAAACAAATATCAGGCTGGCAAGACAGCTCAGTGGACTGTTTGCTTAGGCAAGCTCAGGGACTAGGGTTGAATCCTGGTACCACATACTACACCAGCTCCACTGCCAGGATGCTGAGCCAGCCACCAAGATTGGGCATAGCAGCACACGCCTGTAATCCTAGTGCTAGGGAGGCTGAAAGCAGGAGGGTCACTATAAGTCCAAGCTGCTTAGTGAGACCCTGTATCAAATACATTAATAAGAAAGAAAGCAAGAAAGAAAGCAAGAAAGCAAGCAAGCAAGCAAGAAAAGAAAGAAAGAGGGAGGGAGGGAGGGAAGGAAGGAAGGAAGGAAGGAAGGAAGGAAGGAAGGAAGGAAGGAAGGAGAAAAACATGTCATAGAAAACTGAAGTCCAACTCATTCATTCAAGTTATGATACTGATATTAGTAAATAAATTAACAGAATACATTTTTAAAGACAACCCTCTCAAAATTGAAACCAATTGTTAGCAAGTATTTCAAATAAAGTTGAATCTTTAGGAAGTCATCAGTAACACTGGTAACGATACCACCAAGTCAAAAGAAATCTCCATAAGGTGCCCTAATGGAAGGATATGAGCGCCCAGCCTGCCAGCCCTCCACATAAGCAGCACAAGGATTGGAGCCTGATAAGAGTAGCTGGGAGAACAGGACCTGGAGGATCTCATTCCATTATTCAGAGAAGCTTCCTCTGTTGCCCAGAGGAATGAAAACAGGGGAAAGGGAAGAGTGTGGATTGCACTAGAAAAGCAATAAAGAATTAGATTTATACAAGCGCACTTAAAACAGCAAAATTCAGGAGGCATCAGAAGTACAGTATGATCATCTATTCGTGCAGCTCTGAGTTTGGGTGTCTGCTATTACTGTGAAAGAACACATCAATCACTGTGAAGTAAGACTAAGACTGTAGAAGCTTGGAGAGCTGCAGTACTTGCATCTGTCTCATCATTTACTATTCATATTATGTGACATACTGTTGACACTCGAAGCACCCATTTGCTGAATGAGTTTAAAATTCGTGAAAAATTCATGAAGACACTCAGAACCATACATAGCTTATGCTCATAAAGATCTTCATTTTCATCTCAACTACTTAGCAAGCGCACAGACTACTTAGTTCACCAAGTAAAGCACATTTTTATGTTTTTCAGCTTAAGCCAAATTAAAACAGAGAGTATGGACAGCATACCAATTTTAAATTTTCATAGTCCTTTGCTGGGATTTTAAGAATTTCACAGTCTTCTTCTGCCACCACTGAGAGTGGCTGTGTTTCTAATTCGGGATCAGGTGTCACTTCCAGGGATCCAAAGGTACTCCACTGTCTCAGCTGTGGAAACATGAGAGCCAGCTTAAGCTTTGTTAATTCTATGAGCGTAAAAATGCCAGAGAGAGTGAAAATATAGATGAGCCTGCAAAACGGATTGTAGTTCAAGCTCCAAACAAATGGAAGAAAGGGCTTTAAAAGTGCCTTGGCATGGATGGATTATTTTTTTCTCCGACTCACTTCCTCAGGTCAAGAAAGAAAGTTCTATTCTGAATCAGCATGAAGAAAATGACACTAAAATGGTGGGGGGGGGGGTTGTTAATTTGGTGATTAATTTTAAGCACCAGGTAAATGAAGAAAATGGCAGATGGTCTTTCTCTTATCCCATGTTGACAGTCATAATAACCAAAGTGTGTATGTAGTATATAAGTTTTATGTGTATTCATATATAGTTTTCTGGTTTAACATGTGAAAAATAAATATTAAGCTGGGCATAAATAGTATCATAAGAATATATATATATATATATATATATATATATATAGTGAGTTGTCAGGATATCTAGGGACCGTCTATAGCTACACAGATCTCTACTCTTGTTTGCCTGGGAAAACAAGGCAGCAGATGCAGGGAAAAGATACATTTATGTAACAGGCTGAAGAGCTTCTCAAGGAAAATAGCAGATCAACATAGCTATCCAAGAGGATATGAAAGAGCAATCACTCTTCTATTTTAAATCCATGGAAATATTATTCATTTTTCTTGTTAACAAAACTCCATACTGAGCTTGAATCTGCATGTCCAGTTATAAGAAGTGAATTTTAAATGACAGTCCACTCGTGAAGCCAAAGTGGTTCCCAGTGCTGTCAAACAAGGCTGATGATACTGAGTTCTGGAGCTTTTATGTTCAGAACAAGAGATAGGAATTAATAACATGCTGCAATAGGAGTGATAACTTGCTTTCCCTAAAGTTTAGAACCATGGAGGATTATGTCACACATAAAATGGACAGAAAATTTTGCCAACTCAGCTACAACAGCCACACACAAAACTTTGCCTTCCAGCTGTGAAACTGGTCAGAATGTTAACAAAATTTGAATTTGGCTCTGCTACATATATAGGTATAGAGTATACATTCACACATAGTGCATAGCCCAAAGTTGAAAAACTGATACAAAACTTGCTATGTAACTAGAAAATCTCTTAAGATTCAGAAACATAAAATTTTTAAAACATATATAAATTCAGGGGAAATGAATTCTCATAGAATAAAGTCTAATGCTCATGACAAAATCAGAAAGAAAATTCAAATTAATGACTTACAACTTACATGAGAGAAATTCAACAGAGACATATGAAACAAAGTGATGGGGGGGTGGTGATAGCTCAGTGGCATAAGCATTTGCCTGGGAAGGGCAAGGTCCTGATTTCGATTCCCAGCACCAAAAAACACAAAAAGTGTCTAAATGAAAAGAAGCTACATGCACATTTAAATATTTAAACGGTAAATTGGAGCACGACATGATGCAACATAAAGCTATATTTTAGAAAAAAGCAAAAGATTTATATAAATAAAAGTAGTGGAAAGAAAAATCAATGAACATATTGATTTATAGATTAAAATAGTAATATTATTGATATTGATAAAGTGAGAACATTGTCTTTATCAGATAATTCAAATATAGAAACAATAAAAATAAAAAGGATTTAATAGTTTCAGAAGATGGATGGAGACAATTGTCTATTTCAATCTAATAGAAAATCTGGAGAATGCCAAAAGGATGATTCCTAAATAATAATGCGTGTAAATTTTCAAGAAGTGAAAATAAAAAGGCTCTGTTTCAAATGAAGAGTCACAGGAAACCTAGAGATCTTTTTTTTTTTTTTTTTGAATCCTGCTCAAAATTTCATGGACTGCCCTAATTTTTCCTCTTCCTTCCTTCATGACCTTCTAAGCTGTGAATTTCAAGCAGACGTTTTTCTGCATATACTGTTTTATTTTTTACTTTTTAGCATTATTATATTCATTTAGTTTTGTTTTAAATGGAATAGTGAAATAATAGATGAGGCATTAGAAATGCTACATAATTAAAAGCAAACAGCAAGATGATAGGTATTCAACAGTGGTTACTATATTGCGTATTGAAGACTAGGGACAAAGAAGTAAAATCTGGTATTCTCCAATTTCTTGCTCAAATGTCTCATTGCTATTTGTTTCTCAATAAAATAATAAAAAATCATAGGATGGGAAAAATAAATATAAATTAATTAATTAATTAATTAACTTTTTTTTCCAGAACTAGGTTATTGAACTCAGGCACTTGCACTTGCCAGGGAAGCGCTTATTCCACTGAGCCATCTCCCTAGCGCCAAATAAATTCTTCTGTGGAAAAAAAAATCCGATCAGCACCAACCTCTATTCTGGGAAGAAACTCATAATCCTCACAGTCACCAACAAAAGCACCACAAGAGCACAGACCTTATATGTCAGAATGGCAGCCTTTTAATCTTACAATCCCACGACAGTCAATGAAATCATGAAATAACCCCAAAGTGAGAAAGAACCACTGCGTAAGGATTTTAGCTAGGAACCAACAGCAGCCATAATTATTTCTAAAATTTATTATAATACACAAATTGAGTTATTTGAGCATATATTGTTTTAGTCCGATTTATGTAAATATCCACTGTGAAAGCTAAAGTCATGACTTTGAATAACACTTTATAAACTTTCTCTGAAATGCATCAACCAATAACATCAGACACATTTAAGTATTGGTAAATTTAAACAGTATTATTGGTGCACAATACAGTAAAAATTAACAATATAAAATATACTTTTTCCTGTATTTTTAGGGAAGGGTCTACAGGGTGTTCAGGGTCTCACTACTAGATTAGACTTGTAGTGATTCTCCTGTTTATAGATTCCCAAGTTGATATAGGAGAGTTTTTTGGAAGTATAGAATCTATCATTAAATGATATGCATGAGAGACCTATCGTCATTACCTCTGGACACTGCACATAATTATCACCATCTAGTTGATTCTTTTAATATTTTCTGAAATTCTTAATAAATACAGCAATGTCTAAATCAGACAGCAATATATAAAAACTTCTTAAATGATTTTGGCTCAGTCTTTCTCAGATTTGTGGTACATATCATTCATGAAGACTATGTAGACAGGGGCTGGGGAGATAGCTCAGAAGAATCAGCTCATTGAACTCAGGGACAAGCACAGGATCCTGAGTTCAATCCCCAGTACTGGGAAAAAAAAAGGCTGTGTAGGCAATCAGATTCTGATGGAGAGAGTAGCATAGGCACACTAAATGAACATTCCTTTCTCATGAAATTTGATGTGAAATAAATTGATGTCCACCTTTATTGAGAAACAATGTATTCTCATGCTTAAAATTATTAAAAACTATTTTAATAATGCATGACGCAAGTAATCTGCTTCTGAATAATAAGAGATGCAAAATTTGTGCAAATCTATTTTGAATAAAATCATATCCAGATTTGTTTTCAACTGTCTATCATAAACATTTCTGGAAGGAAGAGGATTTTATATTTAAATTTTTTCTCCTTGTTAATATTTCTCCATTGCTCCTAGGTCCAGGTAATTACTGTAAACAAGATCAATAACTAAAATTTGACCTGCCATTTTTAAACCAAGGGAAGGTCTTGCCCTAAATCTTGAAGAATGTTGTTTTTTTTTTTTTTTTCATTTCTAAGGAGATGAACAGGTAGAGAAATCACAAAACTTCTCCATAACAGAGGCTCATAACCAGGCCGCTGGATAAATTCTACACTTCTAAAAGACTTGTGCTCATAATATATTATGCCATAGTTTGTGAGTATTCATAACTTTGTTTTTCTTGAATAAATTTCTATATCTTGCATTATATTCTCAAACATGTGTATCTCAAATAAAGATTGAAAAATGTTTCAGATAGAAGAAATGTTAAACTTCCCCTCAAAGATGTTACGCTTACTGGTTGTAGAAAGTGCCTTCTTGTAGTCAAAGAGCAATGCACAGGAAAACACTGTTAGGAAGATGCTACATTAAATACTGTTTCACACACACACACACACACACACACACACACACACACACACGGAGCAGGGGCAACCATGAGAATAAGGAGAGTAACCTGAAAGACAGAGATAGGAGCTACCTGGCCATGAGGACAATGTTCATGGGATCTAATGCATTTGTTTCTCTGAGACTTTGGCATGTACCATTCAATAGCAATTCTTTACGCATATTCATTCATATTTGGATTATAAGAATGTAATATTTTAAGATTTTGTGAATGACTGTATTTTGTCTAAACAGAAACCATAAACCCAGGTCTATCACCATGCACTAAGCTAAAGTCAAAATGGATTAAAGATCTGAACATTAAAACAGAAACACTAAATCTCATGGAAGAGAAAGTAGGAGAAACTCTTGAAGACACAAGGGTAGGAAAAGAATTTATGAACAAAAATTAAATCTCATAGGTAATACTTGAAAGAATTAACAACTAGGACATCCTTTTATTGAGAAGTTTTTGCATGTCAAAATAAATTACCAACAAAGTGAAAAGAAAACCCACAAATTTGGAAAAAATCTTAACTAATAAGCACTCAAAAATCTGCTCTCTAGAATCTATAAAGAGCTAAAAAAAAAAAACCATCAGGGTACCACAATTTAAATACCCATTCCAGAAATGGGCATCTGAGATGAACACGCACTGCTCAGAGGATGAAATTAAAGAAGTGAATATATATGTGAAAAAAGGCATACTTTTTAAAAAGACTTTAATTTTTTTAATTGAATAAAAAAAATATCAGCAAATACTCACATTAGTGTAACTAATGTCTGATGTCTGTGAGTAGCCATTAATGCTAACAGTTCATGTTACTTTTATTACTAGTTGATATCTGTGAGGGTATAGGCATGGGAAGTTCTCTGTCATTAGTTCATTAATATTGGTTGATTTTTTTAACAACTCCAATGGAAAAGTGTATATTTATACCTTCTCTTTTTTCTTACATGCTACTAATATCTTCCTTTAC